GAGCCGCGTGCACCACAGCGCATGGCAAACATTTGCACCACAGCGATCCCGTGCACCTCCAAGGTCCCGCCGGGGCCTAAATCTGGAAAATCCCCGGGGGCCCGAACATATCAATTTCAATGTGTAAGCTACTTGTAATGATTGAATTTTCTGGCCCTGGGTGCGGTCACCACGTTTTCGGCCGACCATGTTTGTGTACACCACAGCGCCTGTCTAGCGTGCGCCACGACGCCTTTGCACACCACATCTGCTTGTGTACACTGCAGCGCCTGTCTACACAATACCTTTGTACACCCCAATGCCAGTGTACACCACAACACCCGTGTGCACCACAGCGCTCGTGTACACCACACACACACACACACTGCATGTGAACACGACAACGCCTATGTGCACCACGGGTGCTGCTTCAGCACCATACTCCACAGCCCCAGTGCACAAAAGTGCTTGTGTACACCACAGAACTGCGTACTTTCCAGGGCCCCCGGCAGGACCGAACTCCAAAAAATCGTGCGGAATCCGAACGTACTAAATCCAACCTATAAACGATGTGTGATTATTGGTTTTTCTTGCGCAGGGAACGGTCCCGTCTTTTGGGCCCACAAAGTCTGTGTACACCAAGGCGAATGTGTGCACAACAGCGGATGTGTACACCGCAACGCCTGTGTACACCACAAGGTGAGGCACACCGCAATGATAGTGCACTACAGTGCTTCTGTACACCACCATGCCAGGGATGTTTGCGCGCATGATAACTGAGGTTGCAAGCAACAGTTTTGCATACCACAAAACATGTTTTCACCATATTGCCTGGGCGCATCACGATGCCCGCGTGCACCGCGCGACTTGCGTGCACTTATGCTTGCGTGCACCACAACGCCTGCGTACACAACAGATCTAGCTGCAACAGCAGCAGACGCGCGCACCAACTCGCCCCGTCGCCTGTGTACAACGCAATGCCTGTGTACGCGCTGCTCACGTGCACGTCCAGATGCCTACACGTCGGTCGGAAGAAGTAGGTAGAAACATGAAGTAGGAAGGCGGATACAGTAGATTGGGTCCAGGTCCTCCCAGACAATAACAAAGCACAGCAACAGCAAGCCGATTCTTGAAGTAGGAAGGCGCTTGAAGTAGATTGGGATGTGGGAATCCAAAGAATACCTACTTTCAACGACCGGCGTGTATGGACGACGTCGGTCGTCGTCGGTCGTCGGTGTCGTCGTCGTCGTCTGCCGTCGTCGTCTATCGTCATCTATCGTCGTCTGTCGTCGTCTGTCGTCGTCTGTCGTCTGTCGCCTGTCGTCTGTCGTCTGTCGTCTGTCGTCTGTCGTCGTCGTTGTCGTCGTCGTCGTCGTCGTCGTCGTCTCCCCGTGCCACTCCAAACCCCACCGTTTCGCCAACGTGCATCCAAACCCCAGCATGCTGTGGCGAACACCACCGTGCCGTTGAACACATCTCTCCCTGCACGCTCCCTGCGCCCCACCCTGGACCTGCACAACCGGCTAAATTAGGTTATCCTGGGGGGGGGGGGGGCGAGCCCGATAACCCCGTTTATCGCCGGATCTTAAAAAACAGTCTTCATTCGCTACCATAATCACGATACTGTTCAAATCATGGAGGAATGGAGGACCCACGCCTCCAAAGCAACGATAAAAATAAATAGAAGTGGATCCGCGTTCCTAGGGTGATGACCGTGAGTTAATTACGGAGGGTCCCCGCTCCCGATGCCAAGAGCCATCGTGAATTATGCTGGTGTCGCGCTGTCATGGCAACTGGGCCCGCAGTGGCAGACCCATTGTAAATTACAATTGGTCCGCGCTCCCAGAAGCACGATCATGTGAAAATCAGATCCACACTCCCAGGGCCACGATCCCTTAAACACTACACTGGATCTGTGCTCCCAAGGCCACGATGCCTAATCTAGGAACCTTCTCTGCGCAATCAGGGCAACAATCCAACAAACCAACACTGGATCCGCACTCCCAAGTCGATGAGTCCTTGTGAACTACCCCAAGTCTGAGCTCCAAGCGCCACGATGTTCTGCCGCTTGCACCGGGTCCGCGCTTCCAAGATCACGACCCCTTGTACATTAAGCTAGCTCCGCGCTCCCAGGGCCGTCACCCACTATATAGTACACAAGGTCCGCGCGATCAAGAGCGCGATCCAAAGTAAACGACGCCGCTGCAGCGATGCCAGGGCCACGAACCCCATGTACATTACTTTGAAACCGCGAGCCACGACTATTTGACAAGGACGCTGGGTCCGCGCTCCCAAGGCGACAATCCTGTGTGAATGATGCTGGATCCACGCTCCTACAACTACGATCCTGGCAAACAACGCAAGATCCGCGCTCCTAGCAGAGCCGCGATCAATTGTAACTTGCGCTGGGTCCGCGCCCTTAGGGCATTGTTCCTTCCAAACGTACACTAGCTCTGGGCTGTGAGGGCCACTACCCGTTTGAAAATTACCTGGGTCTGCGCTCCCAAGGCCACGATCTCTTGTAAATTACGTTGGGTCTGCGCTCGCACTGTCACGATCCCGCCCTCTTCATCTTCGATCTTACCCCCTTGGGAGGCATATCTTCTGTACCTGCCACGTGCATTTAGGACAGCCCCTACTACAGGGGAAGAGAGGACGAATGGAAGGGGGAGGGAAAGGATGGAGCACGAGAGAAATTAGCAGGAGAGGGGCTAGGAGCAGAAAACACGTGGCAGAACCAGACGGGCAAATCGGGCGGGCATAGCATACCCCGGCGGGCGGTTCGGGAAGGCGGGCCCAGGCGGCCAGGTCGAGAAGGCGGGTTGCTGAAGCGTGAGTCCTGCACGAATCGCGAGGAAACCTTGAAAGATAGGGCGACTCCCAAGAAAATCGTGAGGAAGGCACGGCATCTGCAGAAATTGCAAGGGAATCCCACGCGAGAGCGCGACTCCTACATAAACTGTGAGAAGTCGTGTGCGAGAGCGCGATTCCTGCAAACTTGTGAGGAAGTGCTGCGCGAGAGCGCGATTTGGGGATAAAGTGTACAGAAATATCAGGCGGGAGCCGTTGTTGTTGTGGCTCGGAGTCCAGCACCGCAATGTGAGCAGGAATAATGTAGCCGATAAAGGACAGGGAGCGAGCCCCGAAGGGAACACTTCAATCGCAAAATACAATGTGCACTGGCGAGGGGGATCAACAATAAATTGTCTACAAGCGTGAGAGTTCAACAGCAAGAACAGCAACTTTCACTTTAAGACCGTTCGCTCTCAATTGCTCGCATGTCACTCAACATGTATATCCCGAACCATCGATACCCGCCCTCTTCGTCTTCGATCGTACCCCCAACCCTTGGGGGCACATCTTCCTTACCTGCAAGGTGTAGTTGGCGCAGCCTCTGAAACAGGGCAAGAGAGGCAGGATGAAAGGAAGGGGCAAGGGGGAGGAAGAAGGAAGGAGCACGAGAGGAATTAGCAAAATGGGGGCTAGGAACAGAAAACAACTGTCAGAACCAGACGGGCGGGTTGGGCAAGCGGACTCTAACGAGCGGGCCGGGCGGGCGGGCCCAGGAGGCCGGGAGTAGCGTGCGTCTTGCGGAAGCGTCAGTCGTCCATGAATCGCGAAGACGTCTCGAACGATAGCGCAATTCCAAGTAAGTCATCAGGAAGTCCAGAGCGAGAGCGTACCTCATGAGTGACATTGGCGCGGCGTCTCGGTAAGTTGCAAGGACATGTCACGCGCGAGCTTTATTCCTGGATAAGCTGTGAGGAAGTCCCGCGCGAGAGCGCGACTTAATATAATTTGTGAAGAAGTATTCTGCGGGAGCCATTGTTGTTGTTGTTGTAGTTCGGGGGCCAGGGGGCCAATCTGAGCCTCAAGACTTCCCCTTGTAAAAAACAAGGTGCGAGCCCCGGGTGAGGCGCTTTCGTTGAGAAGATGCAGTGTGCACCGGGAGGGGGGATCAACAAAAATTTATGATTACAGAGAGAAAAAGAGTTCAACATGAACAGCAAACAACAAACAACAAAAACAACAAAGGAACATAATCCTCACTGCAGCCACTCACCCAGGGACAATGAGTGACCGGTCGGCTCCCTCACCCTGATAAATTACACTGGGTCCGCGATCCCGGGGCCACGATACCTTTTAAATTGGTCCAGATCCGCGCCCCCAGGGCAACGATCAGAGTAAATGATAACGAACCTGCGTTCCTAAGGCGATGATCTTGAGTTAGTTGCGCTGAGTCCGCGGTCCAAGGTCGACAAGCCAGCGTCAATTACTCTGGGTCTCAACTACGAGAGCCATGATTCCATCGTAAATTGCTGTACGTTGGAACCTCCCTCCCAGGGCCACGATGCATTGTGGAGCATTCGAGATCCACGCCATCAGAGCCACGATCGAATAGTCTGCACTCTAGGGCCTTGATCGCTATTAAATTTTTGCGCTCCCATGGCCACGATTGTTGGGAAACTTCAAACATTATAGGAGGCACTGATCCTCAGTAAATTCCGAGGGGTGCGCATTCCCAGGGCTATGACTGTCAATTGAAAATGCAGCAATCGATGACCAAGTTCCTTCGGCAGGGGGGGCCAGCGGCAACGGTCGAAGGCTTTCAGATAATACAATCCTGGCAGAGCGAGCGCCGCAGGGAGATAAAACAATTCGCCGGTCAAGACGGTGAAACCAAACTGCGCTCGCCATGTGCGGCATCCGCAGGTGCCAGCTCTGAAGGATCATTGAATTGCACGAACATACACTTTCGGAGGTCTGCGCGGACTTCTTGGATCGGTGCTGGACCTGCCTCCCTAGCGCGCGGAGCGCGCCGGGGGCGTCGCTGGAGGCGCCGCAAGGGGCCCAGCGTAGATCCAAGAAATCCGCGCGGAGCTCCGACAGTTCATGTTCACGCTGGTGTTTGTTCCTCGAGGCTCCACTGGGACGCATAGAGACATATACATACTACATGTCCTCTTGGAGGCGCGTGTCCGACCCGAACATATGGAACATATCGTATACCCATCTTGTAATACATCGTTTCCCGAGCGGCGTGGCCAGAAAGAGCTCGCCACGACGCATAGACTGCAAGATTTCTCGGGGCGCGCGTCGCCCCTGGGGGGCGACGCACACATAGTACTAGAATGCTGGGGTGACGCCCATCAACTGCCGATCGCAGAACTGGTGTCTACTGCCTCCCCGCCCCTCGGCACATCGGCAGCCACCAGCTCCGGCGCTCGGCCAAAGGTGGCCGGCTGGCTCTGCAGGGCCACGGGGGCGATCTTTACGCGGAGCGTGCCGTTGCCCTCTCCGAGGGACAGGTCCTCGTGCCCGCGGCAGGGGTAGGCAGAAAGAAAGAGGAGGAGGAGGAGGAGGAGGATTTTTGCAGTGCGCCGCTAACACCCAGGCTCCAAGGGCAGAAAAACTGCTAGGGACTGGCCGCTAGGGCAGAACATCTATGCATCAGCCCAAGATGCGACTGTCTTCGCCGGAGGAAAACCATTCTACAGATCCTCGACAAAACTTCCAATTGCGCCTTGGTTACAGCATGCGGTCCGTGCGTGACGGCAGGACACGGACCCCTCAAGACAGCACCGGGAGACATGTTGGTCCAAGACCCGCACTCGCCACAAAAGAACAGAAGCATTTCGGCCACAGCACGTGCGTTGGGTGCACAGGCTTGCCGGAAATCCAAAGGGAAACTGGAATTGGCTCGGGGTTCGAGAGAAGGGACAGCCACAAGGAGTCGAAGCTGCGTGCCAGGACAGGCTCATTTTCTAGAAGACCTTCCCTCCTCCCCGTTCTCACGCACACGCTCACGCACACACAGCCCCGCCCCAGCCTCCAAGGTGGCGAAGCAAATGGAAGCAAGGCGTGCGCGGAGAGAGGGGGCGGTGTCCTTGACCTGCCCCGGACAAAGCGAACAAGACCACACACCTTCAGACAGCGACCAGTGGTGCGGGCTGGATCGAACATCGAACTCGATCCACATGCGGCGCCTTAGCACCACATCAATGGGATGCTTGTTCAAGCGTCGGTCTGGTTCCACCCGCAGAGCGGCACACTCAAAGATGAGACACGCATTGCGCTTAAGAGTTACGCAAGCTTGCTGAAGTGGAATCCGCCAGCCCCCTTGCGGAGCCATCAGGCTGCGAAGATTAGGTTCGCTGCTCCCTGCACCAATTCCAGCTTCCAGTTTCCAGTGTTCCAGTGTTGCTTTCTGTTTCCTACTGTAAGTTGTTACCGTCCGCGCGAGGGGAAGAGCGGAAAAGGACCCTGATTACCACGCCCGAATCGTGTGCTCTGAATTTCTGGGGGGCGCTGTATACACGAGATTCGCGCTCCGGACGCAATAATTAATCCTCGTAACTTACATTGTGTTCGCGCCCCCGAGGCTACGATCCCTCATAAAATACGCCGCGCTCGCGTCACCGAAGCTACGATCCCGCGTAAAATAATCAGATTCGAACCCCCGAGGCCACGATCCTTTATCGGAGGTGGGGGGAGAGATCGAAGTGGAACGGAGAGCCCCCCTACCGGGAAATCGGTTTCGGTTTCGTGTTCGTGCGTGCCGTGCGTGCGGGCGAAGCGAAGCTGCGTGGGCGCCCCTGGCTGAAGCGCGGCAGGACCAAAAGTCTCCCTTCCGGCAACCGGTGCCGAGGTGTCCCGCCGGTGTCCCGCCGGTGCCCCGTCGGTGTCCCGATGATGATGACGATGTTGTTGTTGATGATGATGATGATGGCCATGGTGGTGTAGATGTACCGATGGTGATGATATTGATGATGCCGATGTTGCTGATGGTGGACATGATGGTGTCCCGATGATGCTGACGATGTTGTTGGTGACCAGGATGATGTTGATGATGCTGAAATGATGGTGATGGTGATGATGGTGATGGTGATGATGATGATAGTGATGCTGATGAGGTTGACGTTGATGCTTTTGATGATGGTAATGATGGTGATGATGATGGTGCCCCGATGATGGTGATGATGTTGGTGATGATGATGATGACGACGATGGTGCCCCGATGATGATGATGATGATGTTGATGATGAGGATGCTGATGAGGTGATGGTGATGGTTTTGATGGGGTGGCCCGATGATGATGATGTTGATGATGGTGTCCCGGTGATTATGATGATGCTGATACTGATGGCAACGATGATGATGGTGTCCCGGTGAGGATGATGTTGATGATGACGATGTTGCTGACGATGGTGATGGTGTCCCGATGATACTTATGTTGGTGATGTTGTGCATACGGGTGATGATGATATAATGCTGGTAATGACGATGTTGGTGTTCCGATAATGATGATGGTGTCCCGATGATGATGCTGTTGCTGATGATGATGGTGACGATGATGGTGTCCCGATGATGGTGATGATGGTGATGATGATGATGGTGGCCATGGTGGTGATAATGACGGCGTCCCGATGATGATGATGTTGATGATGCGGATGGTTATGATGATGATGGTGTCCCGATGATAGTCATGCTGATGGTCCTGATGATGCTGATGCTAATGATATGATGAGATGATGATGGTGAAGATGATGATGATGATGGTGTCTCGATGATGGTGATGATGATAAGGTTGGTGATGATCCTGTTGATGATGATGATGGTGGTGATGATGATGGTGGCCCCATGATGTTGATGCTGCTGACAATGATGGCGATGATGGTGTTCGGTGGTGGTGATGATAATGATCTTGATGGTGGGGATGATGATGAGGTGAAGATGATTTTGGAAACGGTGGCCCGATGATGATGCTGATGTGCATGATGGTGGTGGCGTCCCGACGATGATGATGGTAACGGTGATGATGGTGTCCCGATGATGATGATGTTGATGGTGATGCTGTTGCTGATAATGGTGGTGTCCCGATGATGATGATGATGATAATGATGATGATGGTGATGACGATGTTGTTCATGATGATGTTGATACGATGATGATATTAATGGTGGTGTTCCAATGATGATGTCAATGATAATGATGGTGTCCCGATGATGATGGTGTTGATGATGGTGATGGTGTCCCGATGATGATGGTGCTAATGATGATGTTATTGATGATGATGAGGTGATGATGCGGACGGCGTCCCGATGCTGATGATGATGATGATGGTGTTGATGACGTTGGTGACGATGATGTCGGTGATGATGATGATGATGATGATGATGGCGTTGGCTGTGAGATCGAATGTGATATCGATAGTGCTATATATCCTGGGACCGAATGTGAGATAGATTGTGCGATTGATGGTCGTATCGATTGTGAGATCGATAGTCATATCGATTGTGAGATCGATCGGGTGAAATAGATCGAGTGATATCGATTGTGAGATAGATCGGGTGACATCGATCGAGCGAGACCGATCGTGAGATCGACGGTGATACCGATCGAGTGAGACGTTGGTTCCTCCCCCCCGAACCTCCTTATCACCCGAAGGGTGGTCGCATTAGTAAATTATACAGCATTCGCGCCACCGAAGCCACGATCCCCTGCAAATTACGCCGCATCCGCGCCCCCGAAGCCACGATCCCTTGTAACTTACACCACGTTCGCGCCCTCGAGGCCACGACCTCGTGCAAATTACGCCACGCTCGCGCCCCCGAGGTTGCGATCACCGTAAATTGCATCACACTCGCGCCCCCGAGGCTACAATCCCTTGTAAATTACGCCGCATTCGCGCGCCCGACGCCACGATCCCTAGCAAAATGCACCAGATTCGCGCTCCCGAGGCTACGACCCCCATCACATTAAATAGTTAATCATCATACCTACCGATGTGATCTCGCGCTGCTTTATTTCCGACCGTGCGCCCCCCCTGCCTGCTCCTCCCCTGAGCCCCCCTCTCCTTGCCCCTGAGCTCCCCCCACCCTCCCCACGCCCCCGCGCCCTGCCCCAGTGCTCCCCCCGCTCTCCCCGGGCCCCCCTCCCCTTCCTCCGACCGTGCGCCCCCCCGCCGCCCCTTCCCTGCGCCCCTCTCTCCGGCCCCCGCGCCGTCTCCTCCGCGCCCCCCCCGCCGCCCCCGACCGAGCCCCCACTCCTTCTTCCGACTGCGCGCCCCGCCCCCTCCTCCCCCCGCTCTCCCCTGCGCCTCCCCCCTCTTGCCCCCGCCCTCCTCCGACCCTCCCCGCGCCCCCGCGCCCCTCTCCCCCGTGCTTCCCCCGCCATCCCCGGGCCCTCCTCCCCTTATCCCGACCGTGCGCCCACCCGCCGCTCCTCCCCTGCGCCCCTCTCTCCTTGCGCCCGTGTCCCCTCCACGCCCCCCGGCCCCCGCGCCGTCTCCTCCGTGCCCCCCCGCGCCCTCCCCGGGCCCCCCTTTTCCCCTTGCCCCCGACCGCGCGCCCCTCCCGCGCTCCTCACCTGCGCCCCTCTCCCCTTGCCCCCGCGCCCCCTCCACGCCCCCCGGCCCCCGCGCCTTCTCCTCCGCGCCCCCCCCGCCATCCCCGACCGAGCCCCCCCCCGCTCCTTATTCCAACCGTGCGCCCCCCCCTCCTCCCCCCCCTCTCTCCTGCGCCTCCCCCCTCTTGCCCAAGTCCTCCCCCCGCCCTTCCCGCGCCCCCTCCCCGCCCCCCCCCCCCCTTATTCCGACCGTGCGCGCCCCCCCGCCGCTCCGCCCCCTGCGCCCCTCTTTCCTTGATCCCGGCCGGCGCTCCCCGCGCCCCCCGGCCCCCGCGCCTTCCCCCCGCCATGCTTCCCCCGCCATCCCCGAGCGCCCCCCGCTCCTTATTCTGACCGCGCGCCCCCCCCCACCTCCTCCCCCTGCTCCTCCTGCGCCCCCCCCCCTCATGCCCCCGCCCTCCTCGCGCCCCTCCCCGCGCTCCTTTTCCCGGCCCCCCCCCTCCTCCTTATTCCGACCGTGCGCCCCCTCCTCTCCCGCTCCTCCCCTGCGCCCCTCTCCCCTTGCACCCGTGCTCCCCCCACGCTCCCCGGACACCCGCGCCTGCTCCTCCGTGCTCCCGCCGCCCTCCCCGGGCCCCCCCTCCCCTTATTCCGACCGCGCGCCCTCCCCCCGCTCCTCCCTTCCACGCTCCCACCGTCATCCCCAGGCCCCCCTCGCCTTATTCCGACCGTGCGCCCTCCCTCCGCTCCTCCCTTGCGCCTCCCTCCTCTTGACTCCGTGCCCCCCGCCTTCCCAAGGCCCCCCTGGCCTGATTCCGACAGTGCGCCCTCCCCCCCCTCCTCCCCTGCGCCCCTCTGCCGTTGCCCCCGTGTTCCTCTCCTTTTTCCCGGGCCTCCGCGCCACCCCACGCCCCTCCCCCCCGTGCCCCCCCCCGCCCTGCCCGGACCCCATCCCCCTCCCCTC